CACGTCGATGAAAACCAAAAGTGAAATGGATAGGAGATAGACTCTACTTTCCGCAAAGCCATTTTTTTGATAATTTTCATACCTTCTTAGTATTTTGAGTTTTTCTCCGTGAAAACTCGGTCAAAATTAAAACATAAGATCAGATTCGTAATCATCAGCTCAAGACGAATCAGAATGTGTCTAATTAAAAGTAAAGTCCACTAAAACTTTGAATTAAGGGAACCTTATATTCCTTCTCTTCTTTCCTTCTGTTTTCAAATAAATATCGCAAATCGTTAAGATAGTTATGATACACTCAGAGAACTACCTCTAACAGTTGGGTATTCAGATAGGTATCCTGAATCTTTTGAAATATCAGGCTTGATTGAACATCATAATCTTGCCCGTTCTGTTTCGTAAATCAGCTATTTTATTCAATTAAAAACAGTTTTTTATTCATATTTTTAGATGACTAACAACAATAGTCGGTTCTTCTTCTAAAAGTTGCAGATCCCTTGTTTTTCTTAACATGTTTTAGTACTATTTGAAGTTTCATTAGTAGGATCAGCAAAAGATATTTGTATTTGACTATCAAAAATTTTTATTTTCTTTTAAAATTTCAATTTCATCGCCAACACGAATAATTCCGTTGGTATCTGATGCTAAACGAATACCAAAATGGGAAAAGACACTATACAATTCAGGTTTCAGTCGATAAGTTTTCAATGTTTTCCATGGTTGTTGATCTGGATCACGTATTCCTGTTTCTTGATCAACAGTTGGCAATAAACACCTTGAAAATGAAAAACAGATTTTTTTCGTGAGGGAACAGTTATACTCAACGTTACCTTGTACAGCAAATAAGCCATGTCATTGTGACGCCTTCTCGACCGATTTTGATTTGTCGCCAATAATCCTGAAATAGCAGAGAGGTATTCTGGCTCTCAGAAAAACGCAAATATATCTTCCTCATACCTCAGCATATGGACTTTCAACGTTTTCAACAATAATATTTGGTCTAAATCTATAAA